CCAATGACCCTGCCACCCCAGACAGGGCAGGTCTCTGTCCACCCTTGGCCCTGGCAGTGCTGATCCCTCCTGGTGATGCCCTCCCCTTCTCCTGGCAGCGCCGGAGGGATGCAGAGCTGGTCTCAGGGAACCACAGGGCCTGAGGCTTCCTGTGTCATGGCATTGTGCTGATAAAAATTAATGAACCTTGTAGCTCCTGTCTCTCAATTATTGAACTCTGGCTGCTTGCTGGAATTGGTGAAGGATGTGGAGCTGCTGGAGCCAGTCCAGAGGAGGCTGTGAAGATGCTCAAAGGGCTGGAGCAGCTGGGACTGTTCGGTTTGGAGAAGAGAAAGCTCCAGGGAGACCTCTGAGCTCCTTCCAATGCCTGAAGGTGCTTGAGGAGACCTGGAGAGGGACTTTGGACAAGGGTCTGGAGTGACAGAACAAGGGGGAGTGGGTTCAGCCTGGCAGAGAGCAGGTTTAGATGGATATTGGGAAGAAATTATTTTCTGTGAGGGTGGCAAGGCCCTGGTACAGGCTGCCCAGAGAAGCTGTGGCTGCTCCATCCCTGGAGGTGTTCCAGGCCAGTTGGACAGGGCTTGGATCGACCTGGGATAGTGGAAGGCAGGGGGGATGGAATGAGAGGGTCATTAAGTTCCTCACTAACCCAAACCATTCTAGAATTCTATGGCTGGGCTGCTGAACCCAGCCAAAAGAAGAGCTACATTGCCGAGGTTAAGTGAAGAAGGGGATTAAAACCACCTGTGTTTGCACTTTCAATCCCTTCCAACATCAATTAAGATTGTTCTGATAAAGACCCGGGCAGTGCTCAAACAGCTGCTGAAGCTGCTCCTGGCTGTCTCTCTGGGTAGGATCACAAAGGAGCCTTTGTTGTTCTTCAGTCATGGCTGAAATCTAAATCTCAACAGTGCAGCTCAGAGGGTGACATGTGCTGGCACTGGGGCCACTGGGTGAGACTTGTTTTCAGAAAAATGGGAGATGCAGAGGAGAGGTTCCTGAATACAGTAACTCTACCTACAGCCAGAACTGAGGCATCTGCCCAGGGATTTCATATTCACTGACTGAAAGGGAAATCTAATCAGGGCTTGCTAATTTTCATGAAGTCAAACACCTGGGATTCGCTTCAGACTCGCATTTTCCTGGAATAATTCAATACAAACGTTGTATATTTATACACAGGCACCTGACTTTTCTGTTGTTTGATGAGACTACAATTTGTCTTCCTCTTGTGGTTCCTGCAATCCTTCCTCTCCTGTGGTTTGCAGTTGAATTACCAACCTCTACCCCAGGAATATTAATCTGTTTTGTTTTGGATATTGTCATTCTTCAAAGGAAAGCAAACAATGCCAGTTTAAGCCAACCCTCTTCCCAGGCAGATTTTATTGGAACCAAATCCTGCCTCAAACCAGAATCCAATCTCCTCTCCATTGTTGTGTATCTCTATTATTTTTCTCATCATTGCTTTTCCATTTCTTATTACTATGCAGCTCTCAGTCTTGAGCAACGTCATTCAGAATTATACAGAAGTCACATATTGCTGCTTTTCTATTCATACCTGCTTGTTACCTAATCCCAACCTAATCCCAAGCTCTCTATGGAACATCTGCTTTTACCTGGGCTGACAGGTGTATTTTTTAGCTGCAAATATTGCAAATCAAGGATGCAGAATTTTTCTTACTCTGTGAATCTGATCAAGGTCCTTTTCCAATGTGTCGCCGAACAGTGAATTCTCCCTTTATCCCAACAACCTCCAGTGCTGCTTTTGGCTAAGATAAACCAGACAGTGCTGTTTGGAGTCACTCCCTGCCTGTTTTTCCATCTCATCCAGTGCCTGGGGTAGGATGGCTGGTTGGGGTATACAGACAACTGCACCTTCCCCTGCTGATCCAGCCTGGATCATGGCAGGTTGGATCCATGGGATCCATCCTTTGCCATGCCATGTGATCCTCCATGCAGCGGGGATAAAATGCCCAGCATTGGGGAACCCCAGGTGCTGCAGCAGTGATATTTTTGGGAGAAACACAGAGCTGTGCATGGCCAGCTTGATGTCTGCACTGGTGTGAGCACCAGGCCTGGTGTGCTGAGCCCACTGCTCACCCTGGCTGGGACACTGAGTCAAGGAGCTTTACAAGAATTGTTTAGCTTGGAAAAGCTCTCAAAGTTCATGGAGTCCAACCATTCCCCCAGCACTGCCAAGCTCACCACTAAACCACAGGTGCCACATCCACACTTCTTTCAAATCCCTCCAGAGATGGTGACTCCAGTGCCCTGGGCAGCCTGTGCCAGTGCTGGACAACCTTTTTGGTGAGGAAATTTTCCAAATATCCACTCTAAGCCTCCACTGGTGCAACTTGGGGCATTTCCTCTTGTCCTGTACCTGGGAGAAGACACTGTGCACAGACACACACAGAGGGACAGATGGGCACGGGAATGGGAATTCCCTTGGACTCCTCAAGCAGAAACCCATGTGAATTGTCCTTTTTGCACAGCAGGTGAAAACTGAAGCAGTGAGATGTATCCTAACTAGGGAGGTGGGGGTAGAAAGATGCTTTGAAAGGGGATAAAACTTGCTTTCCTCTGTGAGCAAGTCCAATTTCTTTCTCTCTCTCTTTTTCTTTTTTTTTTCCTTTTGGCGCTGTGTTATTCCTCCGTGGGCAGGAGGCTGCAGGCATTTCAATTTTCTTCAAGTCCTTGTTTCAAAAAGGGCCCAAAATATGTTCTCTTCTCAGAGGCAGTAAACAGCAAGTGCACAATGCAGCTTCTCTAAGCCTCTCTTCTCCTGTCTCAGGGAGAAAGGAATTCTCCAAGCCCTAGAGCCTGACTCACTCGCTGTGTGAGCATGAATTAACCAGGAATGTTCGAGAATTATTCCTGAATAATTCATGAACCTGAATTAATCATGCATTTTCATGAATTATTCATGAATAACTCATGGAAATGCAAGGTTTATTCATGCTCCAAAAAACCCAAGGCTTTTTCTCTTCTCTTCTGCTCTCTCTCCCTGTAAGAAACAGACCTGAAACAAGCTAAGGAAAAAAATAATATATGTATATGGGAAAAGAACAGAAATAATAATGCTGAAACAAAACAACCAGGAAAAAAAGAAAGCAAAAGCTCTTTTTTTTCTTTGCAGTGGGGACAGCAGGTGGGAGCTTTCCAAGCCAGACAAAGGAGACCTGACAAGGACCTGTGGTGAAGGGACAAGCCCAAGGCAAGGAAGTGTCCGGTGACCTCCTCTCCTGGAACAGGCAGCAGAGACCTGGAGAGACAGGAGACATCTTGCACGACTCAACACCTGGAGCAGTGCTAACCAGGCAAGGAGCAGCTCTGTTGCTATCAGGATTGTGATCTCTCTTTTTTTTTTTTTCCTCTCTCTCTGTTTGTGATTTTGTGTAATTTTGTTGCGTTCATAAGGGTAAATGAACAACTGGTTTGGGGAAGGAAGATGAGTGTGTTTTCTTTAAATGTTAAAGGAAAACCCCTCCAGAGAGCTGTTTGGGCTGGGGTTGTTTGCTGTCTGGAATGTGGAGCTCTGTTTCTGGGAGGGAGAGGGCTCAGCTATGCATTTATCCCAGTTTCTGCTCTGTAGCATTCCCTGTGTTTGGGAGAGGGCTGGGGGCAGCTGCCTGCTGCAGGGAAGGGGATGTGGGGAGACAGGCACACAGATATTTTGTAAATGGTGCTTCTTGATTAAAAAAAAATCAATGCCAGGGCATGTATCAGTCAGGAGTAAAGGGTTGGAGAGAAGCAGGTGTGAGACTGTGCCAGCAGGGCAGACTGGCAGGTTTGGGGAGAGTTACAGTTCCTGCAGGGAGCTTTGCTGCAGCTGATGGTGGCTGAGATAGGGATGGAGAAAGTTCTCCAGAGTGAACTTGGACCTTCCAAGTGAGAGGAATCAAATCCAGGCAGGACTTTAATGGGGGTGTGGAGGCAAACCAAGAAACTGGAATAAATTTGGTCCTAGGTGCCTTTTCTGCCAGCTCCAACTCTCCTCTGCCTGCCCCAGCTCCTTCCCATCTTCTTTGGACTCTGTGGCCATTGCCCACCTGGTGCCCAGCACATGGGCTCAGCCCTGTCCCCAGAACCCTTCAGCCAAATCCTGCTGCCAGGCAGAGCAGGCAGGACTGGGGTGATGCTGCCAGGGCCCTTAGGAGCTGGAAAGAAACTGCTCCTGAGCTCAGCGACCCTCAGCTGCTCCTCTGGCATGGGAGGTTTTGGAAATCTCCACCAGCCTGGCTCTCCAGTTTCTCCAGTGATTGAAGTCTGCAGCTCCAGGGGCAGAAAGAGAAAGCTCAGTGAGCAGAGCAGTGGGCCAGGACTTAGGATCCAGCTCCTTGCAGCTTTGTTGCTTGACTGCCTTAGACATATCCAACACTGGTCTGTGCCTCAGTTTCCCCATGGGTGAAATGAAGGGAATTTTCTGTTCTCCTTATCAAAGCATTTTGATGTTCACTGGGGGAAATAATTGTGCAGGCAAAGGAACGATCATTTTCTGGAATACCCCTGGGTCTTTTTGAGTCTCTTCACTGCACTGCCTTGCTATCACAGCCCTGCACTGGAGCAACCTGCTATAGATCCTCTGAAGTCCTTTGAGCTGTGATGGTTCACAGGGGCAGAGGAACCAGCCTGTGTCTGCTCAGTGCCTTGTTCAGCATCTGCTCAAAGTGTCAGCTGTGAGGGCTGCCTGACCCCAGGTGAGACCTGGCATGGCTGTCACTGCAGAGGACACTTGGATGCACTGGAGGCATATGGTGCTGTGCTCAGCCAGACCCAAGGCAGCCTCCCAGCAAAGGGCTTTAGCATGAGGCAAGCTCAGAGGGGTGGGAATGGGAGCAGAGAAAAAACTGGCAGAGAAAATGCAGTGCCAAGGACTTTATATCTGCAGGTTGTGCTGCCCTGGGTAAAGCACAGCTTGTGAACACTCCCACCCACAGGAGAGCCCAAACCCCTGTGGTGACATTCCCATCGTGTCCCTCTGCTCCAGGTGGGCAGCCCTGATGTCAGGCAAGCTGTACGTGCTCATCAGCTGGCCCGATGGCAGCCGGGTCATCAGCATGGAGAACATCAAGGAGCCCCGCAAGCCCTTCCACCTCTACACCGTGGGGGAGCAGGTGCTGGCCCGCTGCCCTGGCTTCAGTGGGCTCTACTGGGGTGTGGTGGAAGGCATCAGTGGTAAGTGACACCCCCCTGGCCTGGGTTTGCAATTTGGGGCTGCTCAGAAGCAAGAAGGAGTTTAGTGCTGAGAGATCTTCTCTTGCTACAGAGCATAAAGGTATTTTGGAGAAGAAGCTGCTGGAAGATCGACAGCTCCTGGAGAAGTTAAGTGAGTAAGGGCTTTTGAACATTGCACTTTTCTACTTCCGTGGGGCTTTTTGGGTAGGAGGATGGTGAGCATGTTGTAGTGGCATTATAAATTTCATATCACTGCAATCAGTGTACAAAGCACTGAGTGGGAGTGGAAGGTTCACACATTGCTGCCCCATTGCACATACTGAGCATCTCCCTTCCTTTCAGAAGAAGAACCAGCTGTCCACAGCATGATGCCATCCCCACCAAAAAAATCCAGGAAAACCTTTCCAAAATGGACCCCAGGGAATGCATCCAGGAAACACCCCAGTGACAGGACCTATCCTGCAAAGCCACTGCTGAGGGTGGCTGAGGCCAGCCTGCCCCACAATGCCAGCAGCTCCTCCGTCCTCAAGGACAGGCGTGTCCTGGGAAGCGTGGCAGGGAGCCCCCGCTCGCTGGCAGCTCCCCCCCACCCAGCCAGTGCCTTCACACCTCCAGCCACCTTCATCACCATGGCCATGCCAGGGCCAGGGACTTCCCAGAGTGAAGAGGACAGGGCTGGTCCAGCTGCCAGAGGTAACCTTGGGTTCTGGCTCTGCCGCCTGGTCCTGAGGGTGACAGGGTGGGATGGGGACTTGCAGAGCAGCCAGAAAACCTCTGCTTTGCTCTGGGGCTGTATGGGCTTTGTCTCAGGGCTATAGATGTTAGAGATAGCATTTCCTGGTCCTTTCCACCTGGGAGATCTGTTCCAGGAGGGCTGTCTAAAGGGAGATACAGTGTATGGTCTCTGCTCTGTCTCCTGGCCTAGCAGTTCTCTCCCCCCAAGCCAAAAGACAATCTGAATGAATGCCTGCCTGAATAACTGAAATTCCCAAAAGCCTTGTGTCTCCATTAGTCTTCTAGATTTGCCTATTTCCCTATTTTTCCACCCACTTCTACACCCATTAAATGCACTTATGAAAATGTGCTAGTGTCTTATTTACCTGCTGACTAACAGCAGCATCCAGAGACAAGCTGGCTCTGCTTGCCTTGCCCCCACCATATCATTTGCACTGGGAACAGAAACCCTTGAGATCCCACGTTTTTCTAATAACAAATCCCCATTGATGAGTCCTGGAGAGCCTGTCTGGATCACTGTTATGCAAATGGAATAAACGTGTTGCCATGCAATCTATCAGGGGTGCTTAGATAATCTGCACCTTTTCAACAACTGATTCTTCAGCTTGTCTCCCACCCCTGCTGCAGATTATGTTGCCCTTCCAATGAAGAGGAAGTCAGATGGCATCTTGTCCTCGTGCCAGCAGCAGATCTGTCTGAGCAGGTAACACCTGAAAGCACAGTAAGGAGCCTGAATGTTTCACACCACACATATTGATTTCTGTCCACTCTGTCTCCATTCTCTGCCAGTGCTTGCTTTGACTAGATGCTTGTGGAGGTTAAACCCAAAGCACAGAAGATAATAGGAATTTGTGTGGGCACGTACAGCAAAAAACATGAGCCTGTGCTCTGAAGTCCTGATTCCATGGTGGGACAGGGACAGTGGGAGGTCCCCCATATCTGTGTGCCAGGGGGATGCACAGGAGTTTGTTCACACGAAGAACCCCTTATCTTCCCTCTCAGTCTATTTTATTCTTGTTGCAAATGAAACCAGAGTTGACTTTGCTTTGCATGCCAGATAATTCTCTTTGGGAATGAATTTGAAGATGAGCACAAAGCTGTTTGTGGCAGTGCTGTTTAACTTGCTTGTTTCTTCCAGCCGTGAGGAGCGAAAGATTGATGCTTTGCAAGAGATGGATGGCTTTGAGAGGGCTCACAAAAATTTCAGTCCTGGTGAGATGGAAAGGTAATTAGCAAAAGAAGGCACTGTGTTCTCCTCCTCACTACAAGAGTGAGCAGTGAGATCACAGATGGGTGGCAAAGTGGGGCAATTTTAAACTCCAAAGTTGCTGAGTCTCTTTACAATTGAGCCAGGTGTTTCTGATTGTAGGGCTTGGATTTAGAGATGCAAGAAGGCTCTAAAACACTGCAGAAACTACAAAGCTCTTGCCTATAACAATCAAAACATTGGTTGTGTGTTCCTTGTTTTATTGCTCATTACTTTGATGGCCAGTATCCAGTGATAAAGTGATGCTAGGGACAGTTTGCTTGCAAAGAAATGGGTGCCAAAAAAATTCAAGTTATGGTTCTTGTATTGTCATTTCCCACAAGTCTGTTGTTTAATACCACAAATATGTGTGTCCTGGGACTTGCAAGACAGGCATTATGTCTTTCCTAACAACTGAGAAGAAAATTGAGCATCAAAGTCTCCATGTATGCATGCCCAGGGGGAGTTGAGGGTTAAACTAAACATTCCTGAGCACTGAAAAGTCCAGACCATGTTATTTTCCTCTCCTGCTTTATTCCTCACCCAGGATTGGCTGGAAGGGCTGGTACTCTGTCAGAGAAGTTGTCCTGCCCTGCTGGCAGAAGGCATCTAATCACTGCTTGGGTGGAGGAGCTACATCCACAGTGAGGGCATGGTGTCTTCTTGCCTTTACACAAGCAACTTTAATTTTTCAGGGTGGAGAAGACGGAGCAGCTGGAAAGGATGGTGTTGGACCTCCAACAGGACGTCCTCTCTCTGAAGAAGAAGGTGCAGAGGTTGGAATCCCTGTCCTTCCAGGAGGAGCCCCACCGACAGCCATGTGAGGTGGTGGAGCTCTTCAACGGCTACACCAAGGAGCAGCTGAAAGAGACCATCAGGTTTGACCAGAAAATCAGCACAGCCTGCAAGACTCTGCTCTACAAGCTCTTCACCTCTGACTACATCCAGAGCCACTCCATCACGGGGCGCAGGGGCAACACCTTCCGCGAGGCGAAGCCCATGATGGACGAACGCTGCATCAAAATCATCAGGGTGCTGCTGAAGCAGAAGTTTGGGGATCACCTCAGTGACACTGTGATCACAGAGAAGATCCAGAACGTGCAGAAAGCCCTGAGGCAGAAGTTTAAGACAGAGTGTCTCTGAGTTCTGGGGGATTTGGTGTCTCCTCCTGCCATTTCTGTGTGTGCCCCTGAGCAGCTTTCCCAGGAGAGATGAGCTGAGCAGCTGCTGCTCAGTAGATTTCCCCCAGGGAGCCAGCCCAAGTGAACCATGTGCTAAACACAGCTCAAACACTGCCAAACCTCTGCTTCCATTAGCTGAGCAGGAATTGGGCCCAGCTTGGCTCAGTTTTTGCACTCTACAAATTCCTTCCCATCCAGTCTGTGTGCGAACCTCACTGTGGGTGCATGGAATCACCTCTGTGACTCTGATGATGCGCTCAAAGGCTTCAGGGCTCCATTTGGGTCCAAGAATGGGTCAGGAAGGTAGCCCTGTTCCACACTGCAGAAAGGTTGGCTTTGGGGTAGGGAATCCAGCTGCAAACAGGCTGTGTCACCCAATGCACCTTCTCTCTGTCTGCCTCTGGTTGCTCGTTCTGCCTGTGGGACAATATTTACTCTTTCCTCACAGTGAATGTTTTATTTCCAGCACTAACAGAAAGGCAGGCTCATTAAAACGACATCTTAAAACATTCAGAAAAAGATAACTTGATTTTTTTCCTGTTTATTTTAATGTAGCTGTATGGCGGAGTTGTCTTCCCTAACAAAACCCTGCTGAACAAGAGAAGGGGTCACCCATGGAAGTTACATTAATTTTTCTTTCAAGAACAGATTATTTCCACACAGGAGAAATCCCAAACATTTTTATGACACAGGAGTGAGGGATGGAGGACAAAATATGGCCCAACTTTGCTTTGAAGGCATACATCTTGTGGACAGTCACTATTATTGAAATACAGTATTTTTATCCTAGATAAGAAATGCCAAGTACAATCAGTCCCTTTGCTGAGGGACTACAGAGAAGGTCTAGAAAGACACATCTTTTCCTAAATAATTCAGAACTGGAGTGTGGGTGGGTTAAAATTGTTCTAAGTGTAAAAAAGAATGAGATGCTGACACCAGTCCAGCACTTAACAGAAGTGCTGCAAAATACCAAACATTTCCTTTTACAGAGGCTTCTCAGACAGGGAATTGGTTTTCTCAGCTTAATTTTTAAATTATTCAGGAAGAGAAATGCCAGTGGGTTTGCATTAATCAAAACATTTGGTTTAATTTATATGTTTTGTTGTGTTTTCAACTATTTAATTTCTTCACAGTTACATGAGAAATAATAATGCAAAATAAATGTATTGGAGAAACAAGGAGCTGTTTTGAAAGGGAAAAAAAAGGTGTTATTCTCAGAATTTTCCTCTCCCTTCAGCCTTTTTTTTTGAGCTCATCCATTAAAGTGGGGTTGATGCTGTGATGTATTTTGGTTCTGAAGGGAGATAGGCTTGCCAATGTTTCTGGCACTATTTTCATCAGATGTTTCTAACAGTCATGTTAAATTGCAGAAGTAACAACTAAAGATATTCCTTCTGGTTTCCCAGTGCAAATGATTTTCTTAACTATGGTGCAAACACATTGGGGATGATTTCTCCTTTGTAGGGACCTTGGCCTGAGCAGCACCTGGAGCAGGTCTGCTGTGGTCACTTAGAGCCCAGAGTGAAGCCAGCCCTGGAAAATCCAGTGGAACTGAGCAGAACTGCCCCAAAACCTCCTCAGTGCAGAAACACACCTTGAAATACACCAGCCCTGCCAGAAACCTGGGACCTTAGGCTGGAATCGCTGCTCAGGGAAATGCCCCAGGTGATGTTTTTAATGTTAACTTATCAAAGAGAAGATCAAGGAAGCACAACCAGCCTTATCCTGCAGAACCTTAAAGCTCAACTTGTTCCACCCCCTGCCATGGGCAAGGGCACCTTTCACTCTCCCAGATTGCTCCAAACCCCATCCAACCTGGCCTTGGACACTTCTAGAGATGGGGCAGCCACAGCTTCTATGGGCATCCTGCGCCAGGGCCTCTCTCAATCTTTCCTCCCCGATGTTCATCACATCCCTCACCAAGCTGCAGCCTGGAAATCCAGCTCATAAATGTTATTTATTAAAATAAGTGCTGCTGCTGTCCTCCCCTGCTGAGCCCCCTCTGAGGAGCTGCAGCTCATTACTGTGAGCGAGGGGAGAAAAAAGAGCCAGGGAATGGACCTGCTGTGGGGTGCCACGGCTCCCGAAACACGTGGCTCTAATCAGCTCCCCTAGAAGCAGATGAGCTGGGTGACCTTTCTGCTTGAAAAACCCTGCTTGAAAAACCCTTTGGTAGCTCCCTCAGAGGTGACTTCCCAGCCTAACACACTTGCTGGTGTTCAGGAGTGCTCCTGGTAAGTGGGCTGATGGATGCTCTGCATCTCCGTGGGCAGCACAGCCACAGCGCTAATGAGCCAGCGCTCAAATGGGCCCTTCTCGGCTGTAAAAGTTGTCCTCAGATACTCTCAAAGGCTTTGATATGGCAGAGAGGGTTGAAGAATGGCAATGCAGGCGGCTTTTTGTCAAATTTCATTTTTGAAAGTGTTTGTGAGCCCAAGGCAGCGTTTGCAGGCTAATTGGGAGCATGGGCGGCCGCTGGATCAAACGTCAGCGCCAGGACGCCGGTGCTCTCACCTCCCTGAACTCTCCAGCTCTGGCTAATCAGCCTCCCGAGGGAGGATCACACAGCCTTGGCATGTGGCATTCCCCAGGGCATGCAGGGGTCAGGGCAGATAGAGGAGGAGGAGGAGGAAGGTTTGTGCCAGAACTGCTTCACTCGGGGATGTTCAAAGCTGTGTCTCTCTCTAAGCGGTGAAGGGCAGCTCCATTGAATGGAATTAACTTCCCACTTTAAATGAATTACCAGGAAAAAGTGGACAGTACTTGCTGTTGAGATTAATTACTCTGCTGAATCTGCAGCATCTTGTTGAAAATGGTGCTCCTGCTCAGCTTCTGGGTGAGGTGGGTGCAGGAGGGTGTGGACAGCAAAAATGAGGGTCAAAACTCAGGGGAGGTCTCCAAGGAGGTTTTGCATTCAAAAGGTTCAAAAGCAGGAGAAATGGTGCCTGTCAACATTTGCAGAAGCAGGACTGGAATGGAACATCCAGAGCTCTCTCCCTCCAGGAGGAGCTGGAGCAGCAGGGCTGACCTGGATTCAATTGGGATGTGCAGGGACCTCAATGGGCTGTGGGGCTCTCTGAGGGCCCTTGGTCCCCAGCACCCCAAAACTGCAATGGGGCCCTGCCACACCCCCCACACCTGGGTACCTCTCTGCTGTTTCCTTAGGAACCAGCTGAAAGCTGCATGTTGCTCACGGGCAGCAATACACAGATTTTTGGGGAAAGGTGGGAACCTTTCCAGCCTGCTCTGTATCAACCTTTACATTTTCAGCTTGGCCAACATGAGGCTTCTGAAATTTCATAAAAATCATAGAATTGTTTGAGTTGGAAGGGACCACTAAAGGTTTTCTAGTTTCACCCCCCTGCAATGAGCAGGGACATCAGGTTGTTCAAAGCCCCATCCAGCCTGACTGTGGCTGTTTCCAGGGATGGTTCATCAACAGCTTCTCTGGACAACCTGTGTTTAAAAGAAAAAATAAATCCAGTTGTAGAGGTGCTGCTGGCAGCATGATTTTTTTGTGGGAAAAAATCCCCAGGCCAAACAAGAGGGAGATTCTTTGGTGTTTAACCCCATTTATTTAAAATTAATTTCCTTGACCCTGCCAGGGGGGTTCCATGTTCAGCACAGGCAGATTTTAATTTTCCCATTACGTGGTCTGTAGGAAGCACTCACTGCTGAGCCTCTCAATGCCTGCACTGTGTGCATTCCCCAGAAACCAAAACACATTCACTTAATGACATGCAGACTGTGAGCATCAGATAAAGGAATGATGTCAAAATGGAGCTGAATCCCTCCCTGGGTTTTAATCTAGGCTTAGAAAGCCTGGCTGCCCGTCCATGAGCCCCAGACAGCCATCCCTGAGCCTGCCTGGTGTTCCAATCTGGTTGGATGCACTTGGAAAAATCCTCTGCACAGGGGGAGTGGTGCAGTGGGGGGTGGAAGTGTCTTTGGTTTGATACCCTCCCATCAGGCAGCTGCAGGAACAGGGAGATCTCAGCTGGGGGATGAAAGAAATACCAGAAGGACAAGCCTTGGCCTGTGTGAGCTTGGAGCTGTGTGTTGTTTCCTACTATAACCCACACACAAATACTCTGTGGCATGGGAAGATTTTTTTTTTTGTTCTGGTAAGTCTTTGTCTTGTTTTGTTTTCAAAAAGCCAGTTGTTAAAATAAAACAATCCACATAGAGTGTGATCCCAGAGCTATATCTGGACAATATTTTTATAAAGTAAGTTTTTATATCATTTTACTTTCTTCTTGAAATCATATCAGGTTTTGGTTTTTGTTTTTTTATTTTTGGGGTTTTTTTTTTTGAGAGTGCATTCCCATGCCTGAGAGGTGAGCAAATACATCAGATTTTGTACTTAAAGCAGTCTTTTATGTCTCTGCCTCAGTCATATATTATTACACTTCACTTTAACCAGTATTTCTCTGTCTGCAGTACGTGATTACATTATTCCAGCTCTCCATATCTCTCCATCTCCTCCACCTTTTCAGAGCTGAATGGAACTGGGGAGATCATTATTAAAACACAGAAAGCAAAGAAATAAAATTAACCAGAGCACCAGTTCTCTTTGTGCTGAATACACTGAGGAAATAAAAGGGCCTTCCACTTCTAATAAAATCTGGATGTGAATTGCCTCATAAAAGCTTGGATGAATTATATTCAGAGGCCGAAAAGAGAGAAGAGAGAGAGCTTGGAGCCCTCCACCAGCAGGACGCTCTCCCTCCTTGGTGTGCAGCCCAACGGAAGTGCCAGGAGGGCTTTGGAATCAGGTGAGATGTTCAGCTCAGAGGATGAGCTTCAGGCCTGGATGAAGCACCTGAGTCAGAGGGCCACAGGCTGCTCAAGCCCCTCCCAGTGAAATATTCACGCTGCTGAAGTTGCTGGAGCTCTTCCCGCCGCCTCCTGAGGTCTCAGCCCTCCCTTTGGTTCTTGCCCAAGTCACTGGATGGTGGAGGAAGGACCCTGCAGAGGTGTGGTGACTTCTCAGCCCTGTTCTTGCCCCACTCTGATCTCCCAGGGTCCCAGGAAGGTTTTAGGGTATGGAGAAGGCTTCTCAGCTGCATCTGTGTGCTGGAAGATGAAGGTGGTGAGGGACGTGCCCCCGGTGTCCTCTTGTCACAGCACATTCCTGCTGTCCCAGGACACTGCTGCTCCCAGGAGATGCAGTCTGGTGATGCGCTCACCTTTAAGGATATATCTGATGGTGCTGGCTTTTCTTTTGGCACCCAGGTTGAGCTGAAGCCAAGGGGACTGTGCCTAACTGAGTAATGGAGAGATTAACAGCCCAGAAAGGCAGGCCTGCACGGTGCTCATTGATTGTTTCTCTCAAATACAAGCAGAGCAGCCCAGAGTGTCAGGCATCTGAGGAGAGAGGAGACTGCAGAACTGATGTACCCCTGCTAATGAATAATCGTTAAACTCTAAAGGAGTTTATTATTATTGCCATTAATTCTGGTTGTACTGTGCCTGGAGACAAGGAAGGTGGAGAAAGATGAGTTCATGACCTACATATTACAGAGTAGATTTTATCCTGGTAATATGAGAAAATCGATCATTTCTTAAGTGAGAGGACTGATAAAATCACTGACTTCTGAGGAGCGACATCATTGCTTTTATGTGTTCAACAAGCTCACTGGGATGGTGCTGGAGAAGGGTCAAATCCCTCTTCTGGGCATCCTAAGGGTCAGGAGTCAGTTTGTTCTCAGTTTCCCAGAGGGAGGAGGGAAGCAGGAAATACCATCAGCATTCACACCTTCACTTATATTAGAATTTCTCCTCCATGCTAACCATGAGGCTTTACTTACCCTGAACTCAGAATAAATTGCCAAAAGTCAAGGAAAGCCATAGGAAGATCCCTCCAGCCAAAGCAGCAATGGACTCAAGACAGGGGTTTAATGTTGTTCCTTAAGGTGTTTTGGATCAAGAGTAAAATACCATCATGATCTGAGAACCCTGCTCTTCTCCACGCTCCCCAAATGACTCCAGCACATTCCTGAACAAGAGGACTCCTTCCTCTCCTGGAAACTAAAAAGTGAAAGACACAAACCACCCACAAAAAGTATCTGTTGTCATTTGTGCAGACCAAAGGGGAGGTGCAAACTGCTCTCTGCCTTTTGGCTCTTTGATCAGTGTACTTCCAAGTCTCTAGAGCTGAACCAGGAAGAAGTTGGGTTCG